ATAAAAACATCCAACCATGACAAGACTATTCAGAGAAATAAATAAGTTGGAGCCTTTTAAGTAATCATTTTGGGAATTGGTGAAGTTCTACCCCACAAAATTTTGAAATACACGAAGTATCAAATTCACATTTGTCTCAATCATATGCAGTATGCTTAATGCAGGTCCTATATGAGATGCAAAAACATATGAAGTGTCCTACCTCTAAGAGTTGCAAGTCTGGACACACAGACTGTTTCAACAGTTCATGCAACTGCATCAGATTAAACAACATAAATTCCCAGCGATTTTCGCAAGGAATCAAATTTCTGTGCATCAAGGGTTTTTGCAAAAGCATCAGTTAATTCATTCTCCGTTGCAGCATAATCAATTGAGACAACCCCCTTTTCGACCAAGCCCCTTATGAAAAGATGACAAATATCAGTAAGCTTAGTTCTCGAATGCTGAATTGGATTCATAAACTTATTTTTCGCATACAAATTATCACAATTCAGATTACCAAGTTTTTTATTCCCCAAACTAGCTTTGTCAGCAGAACTGTTGGAACAGTTAGTACTATCATCACATGAGTTTAAAGAAGTAATGGCAGATAAACAATTAAGATCAGACTTCTTTACCCAGATTTTTTGTTGAGTTTTATTCACTAAATCAACCTTTATCTTGGGTTTTTGAGACGACACAAAAGTGTGATCAATTTTAGCGGAAAGTGGTGAGCGGGCCATTATTCTTTTAACCATTTTCAAGTACTTAAAACACCTAGGTCGTATATGACCAGCAACATGACAAAAATGACAAATAGGCACAAAAGGTTTTCTTTGAAATGACTGTTTTGGCGCAACTGTCGCAACAGTCTGTGAATGATGCGATCCGGCGTAGCTCGCGCACGCCCAAACCGAACCCACGTTACATCGACTAAACTAACAGGCTTTGGGCTTCTTTTGTTTATTTAATATGCTTTATTTTAATTGCTTTATTTTATTTAGTATTTCAATTTAGTTAAATTCTTAATAGGATAAATATTAGTTATTAGTCTTCTAATAGGATTAGTATTACTTTGAGTTATTTAAATAGATGGAACCGTAGGTTTATTTTTCAGTTTTGAATAATAAAGTTTTCTTAGTTTTTCTTGCAATTCTTGCGTAGAAAATCTTCGGTGCCAAAGCGATCGTATCAATTGGTATCTAGAGCGAGGTTACGATAACATCAACGCTCCGCTTATAACATGGCGACGAATCGGGAACGTTTCGATCGACTTGAAAATTCCGTTCAAGAACTCCAGGC